TTTGTTTTCAATTTTTAAATTCCCTTTTTAAATCTTTTTTATTTCTTTTTTTTTTTGGTATGTAAAAGCATTTGACTCAGAACTATATACAGAGGTGTATTCGTCCTTATCCCTTTCACACTATTCCCACCTACTCCCTTTATAAATGTAACCATTTTCATTATTTTCTGGTTTCTTTTCTTTTTTTAAAGATTTTTATTTATTTATTTGAGAGAGAGAGAGTGGGGGGTGGGGGAAAGCAGACTCCCCGCTGAGCAGGGAGCCTGATTCGGGGCTCCATTCCAGGAGCCTGGGATCATGACCTGAGCGGAAGGCAGATGCTTAACTTACTGAGCCACCCAGGTGCCCCTGGGTTATTTTCTTTTTGAAAAAAAAAATATATATATATATTCTCTTTCCTTTTTCCCAGAAATGATGTTACTATTTTGCACTTTTTTTTTAAGTAGTTTAGCTAGAAATCATTTCCTATCAGCTCTTTTTTCCCCCATGGGTGTACAGAACTCCTTTGTGTGGATATGCCGTAATTTAGTTAACCTGTTTTCTATGGATGTGTATTTGACTTGTTTCTGATTTTGCTATTTCAGATAATGCTAATATAAAGAATCTTGTGCACATGATGTTTTTGAATCTTGGAGATGTATTTTTTTGGATAATTCCTAAAAGTGGGGATCGTTGGGTCAGAGAGTAAAATGTATATGTCACTACGATAGCCACATTCCTCTTCTTAGGGGTTGTCTGTTTTGCATAACCATCAGCAGTATTGCAAATGCCTGTTTATGGGAATTACTTCATCAATATCAAATATTGTAAACTTCTACATGATGAGTTGTTTTTTTAGCAAGTGGTATATCAGCAGGGTGCCTATGGGAAACAGCTGACATACTCAAAATAGGATAATTTAAGGAAGTTTTATTTACAGAAACTAATTACAGAGGTGTGTGCAAGATACTGGAGAATCACCAGGGTTGGAACAGGATCCAGCATCAGTAAATCTGTTTTCACTCCTAAGCTCGAAGGGACCAGGGAAAGGAAGGGTTATAAGAACCTAAAAGAGCAATTACTGCACAGCTGACTGCCTTTGGTCCAAGAAGAGTCTAAGAAGAGTCCACAAGAAAGGAACCAGGAAAATACATAACTTCCTTCCTCTGACTTCCTGCTGGAGTTCAATTAAAGGGTACAGGAGTGCCTTGATGTATTTCATATAGGTCAGTTTTCCTTGGGCAGAGAGTAGTATGGAGAAAGGTGGAGAGTAAATCTGAAGGGACAAGCAGAAGTTATCCAGTGCATGTATGCACATATAGATTCATGGACCTTTGAAATAACTATGTAAACCAGAGGTTTACAACCTCTGTCTTAATCTTTTTTCCTAGTAAGGCTACTAAGTGCCAGCAGTGTGTGGCTTGTGTTTTATATGAATGCTACTTTCCACTCTGAGATTACTTTTTTTTTTTTTTTAAAGATTTTATTTATTTGACAGAGAGAGACACAGCGAGAGAGGGAACACAAGCAGGGGGAGTGGGAGAGGGAGAAGCAGGCTTCCCACTGAGCAGAACCCTGGGATCCTGATGTGAGCCGAAGGCAGACGCTTAACGACTGAGCACCCAGGTGCCCTGAGATTACTCTTAAAAAAAAAAAAAATCCATGAGCTCTGATTCTCAATTTCAGTATTTTTCAACAGTGCTTCTCAATGCACTTTAAAAAAATACAGGGCCAAATAGTCTTTATCCTCAGATTTCTCTCTAAATAGCTTCATAGCTCTCTTTTCCCCCTTAAGAGACTAATATCCAAAGTAATTTTAGATACTTCACTCTATCATGTTGCCAATATCTGTCGGGAAGAAACAGTGTCTGTTAACTTCTTTCTTCTGATATTTTATGAGACTGTTTCATTATAAACATTGTATTTGGAGTTGGGCATTATCTGTGTCATAAAAAAAGGCTTTATGGCCCCAATTACTTCTGAATGGGAGTTAATAACAAGCCTTCTCAGTGATTCAGAACCATTGTATAGTTACAGCATCTTTGTATTTTTGAGTATGTTTTTTAACCAAGTGGAGTCTATTGCATAATCCAAATGTTTTAAATTTTGGTAGATTGCTAAGTGATTTAACCTCTAATTTCACCTTTCACCTATATTAGCAATAGCTTCTTGGTAAGTGCCATATGTTTCCTCTTGTTTAATAATATTATCTCCTCTCTAATATTAGGTGAGCCCATTTTTAGTTTTAAAATGTAATATCCATCGCACTACTTTTTAGGATTTATTATCATAGATCACATTTTAAGAGCTAAGCTCTAGGACTTATCCCACTTTTCCCTAATTTTATAGTTAGAGCAAAGTAGTTCCTAGGCAACCTAATCAACTTTATAGATAAAATTTACTCTGTTATTATTTCATTTTTCCTCTTAAGTCTGTTTGAATTAATAGTTTCAATTACAAACTTTTTATTTTTAAATAGCACTTTTTATTTTTTGAGCTCTAAAAATTACTAATTTTTAAAATACAACAGTTACAACTAAACCAAATTTCTTATTCCTCCTGATGGGAGGAGTTATTTTTCATATTACCTGAATGATTTAATGAGAAGACTTTTTAATATGTTACTGACAATTTCTTTTCAGTGAATATGACATTAACATGTCTGTTCATGAACCAAAAGTCTCAACTGTCTTCTCATCATTTTGAACATTATAACCATTCTATAATAATGAAGATATGGAAGGCATAGGAGATTGAGTTCAAAATTCATTCGTTGATTTCCTCAGATAAGCCTCTGTTTACTGTCTTCTTTTGTGGGCCCTGCAGATTCAAAGATGATTAGCGCAGTCACTGCCCACAGACATATAAACAAATGTAGTGTAATAAGGGAAAAAATATAAACAATATAGTGTGGTAAGCATTATAATCAGTGTATGCCTAAGGAAGGTGAGTGACACAAAGCATAAGTAACATTTCTTGGGAGGGTGCCAAGGAAGACTTGTTAGAGGAGGAGACATAGTAAATGTTTAATAGGTGAATGAACACTAATAATATAACACATATAAAAGATATAGTCCTATGCTGCAGCCTGTAAAATTCTCTTATTTAAAGATCAGTTAGCAAGAAACTTAGATAATTGAAAATGCAACTAATATTATGAGGTTATAAAGCATATGTGAATTGCTAAGTGAATGATACATAACTAGCATTTATTGAAATACTCTGTAACACAGATTACATGTCTGATTGCATATAGTCCTCACTAACTCTTTTAGATAGGTATTAAGTCCATTTTACAGATAAAGACACTGAGACTGAGGCATAATAATTTCCTGGAAGTCACACAGCTAAAATATGGTGGATCCAGGTTCTAAATTCAGGCAGGTCAACTTTAGAAAAAATGCTCTCAATGCTATATATTTTTTAAAAAATGAACATTAAGACCCATGGGAACCCAGAAGAGAAAGAAAATCTTGCCTATTGAGAGCATTTGGAGAAGAGTTACAAATTAGATAGATGATGGATCATGAAGAATATTCCAGGCATGGGTGTTGGCATAAATAAGTGTTCACTGGCAAAGTTTACTTGAAGAACAAACCAGTATTATTGAGTAGTCAGGTCATGTAGGAGTATCAGGGAAGATCAGCTTGGAAACTGAGGATGGGATGGGAGCCATCTCTCATGAATCCTGAAAATGAGTCTAATCTGTACTTCATCCAGGAGAGAGCCACTGAGGTTGTGGGAGTAGGGGAGTGATACAGGAGTCAAGTGTAACATAATCATTTTCCAACTTTGTGATGTTGAGTACGTAAGCTTACTATTCTTAGGCTCCTTTTTCTTATCTATAAAATGAGGATGATATCTGCAGAGGTTAATTTGTAAAGCCTGATATATAGCAAGTATTGAGCAAATGTTACATCATATTACTATTAATTGATTTGTTTCAGTAAATTTAATCTGAGAACAGTGCATAGTAGCCTAGGTCTATACCTTAGGCCATTAGTTGAGAAACTCTTGAAACATAGTTGTAACAGATAAATGGAAAGGGAAGGGACAGATTACTAGGAATATTTTAGATAAATAATATTAACTTTTTATGTAGCTTTAAAAAAAATCTTTATATGGTTCTTTATGTTGTTTCATAGTATTCATGTGTTCATTACTGTATCAGTAGTCAACTGACAACTGAATGTAACTGTGTAATTTATAAAGCACTTTGACATGTTATTGAATTTTATTCTCAGAACCAGAACCATTCTATAAGATATTATTTCCAGGCTAAGAGAGGTTAAGTAAGTCATTGAAGATCATACAAGTTAATGAAAGTATCAATTTAATACTTGAATTTCCATATACCTATTCTATTTTTTTTTTTAAAGATTTTTTTTATTTATTTATTTGACACACAGAGATAGCGAGAGAGAGGGAGAGAGCACAAGCAGGGGGAGCGGCAGGCAGAGGGAGAAGCAGGCTTCCTGCCTGAGCAGGGAGCCCGATGTGGGGCTCGATCCCAGGACCCTGGGATCATGACCTGAGCTGAAGGCAGCGGTTTAACCAACTGAGCCACCCAGGCGCCCTCCATATACCTATTCTAGTGCTTTCTCTTTTATGTCATATTATGGCAAGAACTGATATAGTTTAGCAGGAAACAGTATGAAAAACTATTATTACTACTTTGAAAGAGTTAATATCTTTTCTTAGGTATCTATATTAATAACAAGAAAAAATCAAAGCATGAAGGGAGACAGATAAAATCAGAGTCTACTAGTTATCTAATTTATATATAAACCCAGTGATATTATCTGAATATAATCTCTGTTCAGTAGATCAAAATATTAAGTGGTTTTAATTTGCCATTTAAAATATCATTAAGACAAATGAAAATAAGCTCTTGCTTTTCTGCACCAAACTGTATTAGGCATTTACTCTCATTCTGGGTGATTGTAAATATTTTACAGTTGAGCTATTTCTTAAGTGTTTTAAATAGTATTGATATGAAACTTTTTGAAATTTACCATCAGGCCAGTGGTAGCAGAATCTGCATAGAACTATGCTCCGCGGTGTTCTGGGAAAAACCTTTCGACTTGTTGGCTATACTATTCAGTATGGCTGTATAGCTCATTGTGCTTTTGAATATGTTGGTGGTGTTGTCATGGTAAGTTTTTACATAAAAGAATAATAATTTTAAGTATGTACTTTTTTTAATTGACGGAAAATGTGTTTTTCCTTTATTTTAATTGAAGTCATTTAATGACTAAAATGTGACTATTAAAACAAAATCTTTCTAAATTGTGGGATGTAATAGACTGTGTTGGAATTAGCACTGGTATAAAATTAAGAACCATTACTTCAAATATGGTTCTGTATTCTGACAGGAGCCCTATTAATAATCTAATAATAGTTTTTTCATCATTTACTGATTTCTACTTATTGTGTTCCAGTGATGTTTGATGTTTTATATATATTAGCTCATTTAATCTTTTCCACTCTGTGAGATACTTATTAGAAATCCATTATACATATGAGGAAACTGAAGCTCAGAAAGCTTAAGTCACTTCAGGTTCCACAATTAGTAAGTAGATTTGGAATTTCAACACAGATTCTCCGATTTTCAAAACTCCTGCTCTTAACCAGTTGTGTTTAACTGTCATTAAAACAAATGATTATTCTGCTTGGTGTCAATATTAAAATGCTAAGGCTGCCCCCCAACCAATGCTTTTTCTAAATATTGCATAATAAATCTGTCAACTGTGACTGTACTGATCTTTTGTCAGGTAAATGAAAGAATAAATTGAATGCCCAGTGAGTGGGTTTTGTTGGTGGTATTGCTATTTTTATCTGGTTTACCCTAAGGGATTCACAGTCATACAACCTCAAATTTAGCTGGAGAAATGCAAATAAATATATTTAACTGAAAGTTTCTTCTTTTTTTTTAATTTACATTCATACTTCCAATGGGCTACAGAGGTAGCAGACATAAACTTTCATTGTGTTCTTTATTATTTGTGCCTCAGTAGGAGGTTTTGAGTAAAAAGTTTTATCAACGCCTAAGTGAAGTCAATGGAGACTGTTGAATTTAGATATTTTAAGTGGCAATGATCTTTTATTACAGTTTTGAAGTATATATGAAGATCATTGTTTTAACACATTCTAATAGAAAGTTTTTAAAGTGCATCTCATTATGCCACTGTTTTTTCAATAGAAAATGAAGTTGCAGCCCCATCAAATGAGTAAGCTATTCTGTTGGAAGAGAACTCGAGGCACGAACTTGTTGAGACTAGTATGATACTACTTAATAAATTACCATCATGGGCACTGGATATTTGATAATAGCAAGAAAATAAATAAATCATTCATTTATTTTTTCAAATATTTATTATCAGCCTTATGCCAAGCACTCTTTTTGGCATTGGTTATATAACTGGGAACATGAGTGATAAGGTCCCTGACCTCATGGAGCTTACATTATACAGGATGATCAAAATTTGGAAACATAGATATTTTATTCATATATTATAATGTATTCTCAGTAAACTATTTTTAATATTTTTGCCTGTGTTTCCAGATCTGGTGGCCACTGTGTAGGGTTGAGCTTATCTAGCAGCTTCCAACTTATAAATCATCCTCCAAACTTGAAGAATGTTTGTTTGATTTTCTTTCTTACAAGCCTGTTCAGATAATTTGTTACATTAAGAAAAGGTTCAATTCAAATTAAAAAATTACCTCTCTTTTCAGTGTTCTGGACCATCAATGGAGCCTACAATTCAAAATTCAGATATTGTCTTTGCAGAAAATCTTAGTCGACATTTTTATGGTATCCAAAGGTAAATTTCTGTCATAGATATATTAAAGTTGTAGTGAAAACATGTATACACATTGTGTCTTTTTTGTAGTTTATCTTTAAAAACGCTTTTTTAAATAACCAAATTAATGGCCAGCTAGTTAAAATTTTAATTCAAATATTTTCTCTCAGTTTGAGAAATTTTAATAGTTTCTGTAGACATGCACAGTCTTTTGGGTCCTTATGTCCCTTGCATTATTGACTGAAATAGAACAGCAGTCCCTTTTATAATGTACGATCAAGCCTACTTTACTTTTGGTCGGGGGGTGGCTCTACAGAGTTTTGAGTGAAGAACCTAGGGACTTAGGAACTACATTACATACCAAATCAGTGATTGGTCTTTACATTTTTTAATACTGTATTTCTATTGATGACTGTCTTATTCTCAACAGCTTATGATGAGCACTTGATCTTTAGACGACAGCACCATATATAGCTGGGAGCCAGGAATCGTACCTATCCCGAGTCTCCCGATTGATTAAATTGAAAAACTCCTTACAAATACTGTTTGCCACTAAGTTTTTTTTTTTTTTAATTAACATATAATGTATTATTTGTTTCAGGGGTACAGGTCTGTGATTCATCAGTCTTACACAATTCACAGTGCTCACCATAGCATATACCCTCCCCAATGTCCATCACCCAGCCATCCCATCCCTTCCACACCCCTCCACTCCAGCAACCCTCAGTTTGTTTCCTGAGATTAAGAGTCTCTTATGGTTTGTCTCCCTCTCTGGTTTCGTCTTGTTTCATTTTTCCCTCCCTTCCCCTATGATCCTCTGTCTTGTTTCTCAAATTCCACATATCAGTGCAACTAAGTTTTTAAAAATCCTATTCTAAATGGTGTTTCCAGTCCCTGTGATACTGTTTATTCTACTTAACGTATATTATTCCTTCTGAGTGAATGTCAAGTATTAGTAATTTAATGTATTTTCTAAAGGGCACCTCTCTGATTCCCTAAAATTTTGGGTTCATTAGTTTTTCATAATTCTGAAAAAATAATACCACCTTTTCATTTCCATAAACTTCAAATTTGGCTCACTAGAGTTGGTATTTAGCTTATGGTATAAGTAAGTTTAAGCACTCCTCTTTCATTATTTGCCTTTTCTGTAGTCTGTTTCACATTACCTAAAAGTCATCAAGAATGGTGTAAAACTGTTCTTTGCATTTTAGATTCTGTAGATAGAAGTTATCTCTTGGTCAAGCTGTATAGTCTAGCATCGTCCCTAGGTAAAATTCTCCTTCAGATCTTTTACTCATAACAACTTCAAGACACCTAATTGATAATTATGGGGTTATAAAATAAGACTTACATAACAGGTTGTGTTCTAGGTTTCTTTTCTTTTTAAGTTATATCCAAATCACTTCATACAGTCTTTGGATTAACTGGAGGCCTAGCATCACTGCAGCATGAAGATAAGCTGCTGTTTTCCATGCTAATGACATGATTTTACTCTTAGTCCTTGAGCATCCTTAACAAGGAGCTAAACTTGTTGGCTAAATATATTGTGAATGAATAGCTCAAAATCATCTTTTTTTTTTAAATAGATAATCTTTGCATTCAGATGGGTAATACAATAACTACATTAAGTTAATTAAGATTCTTGGAAGGTTTCATTTTGTATTTGGTTCAATCAAGGGGCCCTTAGATTGAAGGACAGCTTAAAATCTGGCATTTATATGACATATACCAAATAACTTTTACAACCAAGGTTGTCAGTTGGCAAGTTCACCTTTAAAAATAGTATTGTTCTGAGTATTCTTTTTCATCTGTAGCACAGAACTCCTGAGATTTCAGGGGAATCTCTGACTCTTGGCAAGAGATCCGTTAGCTAGCTGCTTGTTTCTAAAGCTAGAATAGCCATGCATTTAGGAAAAATGAAAGTCTGCATAACTGGTATCTGAAGCACATGGATCTCTTTTCAGTTAAATGCACAGAACACTCATATTTAAAAGAGTCTCTTATTACTACTATTACTACTTATTCTTTCACCAAATAGTTAATGAGCACCTAATTGATAAGATGTGCAGTACAGAGAATGTTAAGATGAATAAGATATTGACCCTTTTCCAAAAGCTTACAATATAGTTGGATAATAAGCATGTTTATAACTATAAATGAGAAAGGAAAATTTCTATTAAGTTCCTTTTAAAACCCTATTTGAAAGAGTTGAGAAACCAAGGAATAATTACTTTGATCTAAGCTCTATACATATATCTAGTTAGACCACCAGAAGTATACTCTGCATAAATATTGGCTTCTGTAAAAACACCTTGACTGATTGGGTGCCTGGCTGGCTCAGTCAGTAGAGCATGTGACTCTTAATCTTAGGGTTGTGAGTTCAAACCCCACATTGGGTGTGGAGCCTACTTAAAAAAATAAATAATTTTTTAAAAATAATTAAATAAAATATTTAAAGAAAGCTACCTTGACTGAATTATGATTTTTATGTTGCCATGTAAGTGCAGAATTTAAGGATCATATTGATTAGTGTTAAAAAATGTAAGCTGAATAAAACACCCACAGAAAACATTTCTTTCCCCAAAGCTAGCCAAAATCAACTTTGTTTAGTGTGTAATAATCTTTGCCAACTTGTTCATCCAAAAGTTCCACTGGCATGGTTCCGTTTGGTTGAAAAGAGACTGGTTTATCCCATTTCAAAAAAAGGGCAGCCTTATATTACCTGCAAATATAGAATTTAGTGTTTTAATAGCTTTCAACTCTAACCACAAGAAATTATCATTCCCCTGAATACTATTACTGTAAAATTTCTGAGGAGGATGGTGTCTTTTATTACCTTACATGTATATTCCTCTTTGATTTAGGTGTTTAAGACAATTTTGTTTTACCTCCCAAACTAAACTTTGTTAGTTAATCATTCCTGTGTAATTAATCAGATTTTCATTTTTGACTTGGCTACCAAAAGGTTTAGAACTCTTATTAATACTTATATGTAGCGATAACTAGGTTTCTTATTTGACTGTCATTTTCCTTTTAGTTTTGTGGCTTTTGATATTTTGATATATGCACCTTTTATTATAAGTAACATCAAATTATTTATGGAACTATGTACAGATAATATAGATAATTAAATCCTTTCAAATATGTGTGTTAGTCGACGGAATTCACTTACTACTCATTTTTTTCAGAAAGAGTGTTGTGTTCTGTTTGGTGAGCGCTTAGTCCTATTTTGTCTTCTTCTTCCATTTTGCCTCCTTCATTTACACTTTTAAAGATCTTTCTTTTTCTTCTAATACATGTATACTGTTACTTCTCCCATGAATCATGCCTTCTACATGTAATCATACCCATGTTGGTAGTATATGTTTGATATACCAATTTACTTTTTGTAGTATACATTTGGGCAGCTTTTAGCATTTTATTTGGCTGTGTCTTCTGATATTCTTCCTCAAAAAGAAGTTTTTTTTGACTATACTGTAAATTATCTTATTTATATGCTGTAATTTGATTCTTTGAGCTCTAGGGAAATATTTATGCTGTTCCTATGTTTTTATGTACTCTAGAGTCAATCAGTACTAATGGCTGGACAGTAAAATTTACTTAATTTGGTGGTACTTATGTGGAATTGCTTTTCTATAGTTTTGGTTCTAAAAATTTGGATACAGAAGTAACACATAGTGGATAAAGTGCAAGAAGATGGTTGTTATGGAATTACCAGAAATTTTAAAATCTAATAGCTTTTCCACTACTCCTGTTGAATTCTGACCCATAAAACTCAGTCACAAAGTTTCTCAAAGCTGGTAAATATATGAGAGGGTCAATATGTGAGAGGATAAAGGGTGTAGCTTTGTTTAAGTTATAAAAGTAGTATAGCAGTGCCATCCATGTATTTATGTTTAATAACACTGACCTTTCTTTGACTTTTTTCCCCTCAGAGGTGACATTGTGATTGCAAAAAGCCCAAGTGATCCAAAATTAAACATTTGTAAAAGAGTAATTGGTTTGGAAGGAGACAAAATCCTCACCAATAGTCCATCAGATTTCTTTAAAAGCCATAGTTATGTAAGTAACATTTTAATTATTACTCATTGATTAATATTAACTGAACACACTGACAAAAGAAAATAACTTTAATTCACATTTTGAATATAAGTTAAAATGCTGCATTCAGTAGAATTTAAGTATGTTTGTATCCAGAACAATTTGGCCATTATATTTTAATTATTTTAGTTTCTTTTAAAACCCTATATAAATATCTCAATAATTGTTGCAGGCAGGATTCACCAATGGATGTCAAAATTTTGGGCAAAAGTTTGAGAAAAATAGTTTATTTGCACGGTCTCAAGGTATCTCTTTCAAGATATTACAAAGGGACAAATAGTAGTTGGTAGAGGAGAAACTAGCAGACACCACCTTAATTGAGTGATCAAGGTTAACTTCACCAATAAAAAGACATACCAACATAATGTCGCCCCTGAAATGAAGCATTAAGAAAGGCACATCACATTTGTGATATTTTTGCAAAAGTAAGTGTAACCTCATTCTAATCATGAGAAAATATCAGACAAACCCTGAGTGTCATTCTGCAACATAACTAAAACTCTTTCAAAAATGTCAAGGTCATGAAAAACAAGGAAAGACAAAAATTGTCTTAGATTGGAATAGACAAAGGAGACATGCCAGCTAAATGCCATCTGGGATCCTGGCTTAGAAAATTTTTCCACTGACTTGTTAGTGGCAAATCTGGTAAAATTAAAGTCTATAGTTTAGTTTTTTAAATCCTACTTCAATTTTTAGGCTAGAAATTGTATATACCTTGCTCTAGTCAACTTGACTATCCAGTTAGAAAAAGAAAGCAAGAGCAGCAGGATGGACGAGTGAAGAGCAGATGTAATTTTAGCTCCTCTCACTGATCACATGGCTGCCATGACAGAGCTTATGGCAGGGGAGGGTGGCCTTTTGTTTACTCAGCATATACTTGTCTTACTTTAATAATTAAACTTAGTTTTTTACTTTTCTTTAAATTTTGTGTCACCCTCAAATTATTGATGCAGCTGTTAGATCTGTTAACTAACTTTACCTCTATTTTCATCCCCAATATAAGCAAATAATTAAGAGTTAAATTGTCTTGATCATTGTGTATTTATTTTGAACTATAATAGCCTCTGATTGCCTTGTAAGTTTGATCAATAGATTATTAAATCTATTATTTTTGTACCATCATAATAGATTATGGTTCAGCAGTGCAAATGTTTTTAATGTTTATTACCACAGTGCTAAATATACTAGTAATTGTTAGCTGATGGTGATAATGTTGAAGGTGATAATGTGGTATCAGGTAACCTATTTTTCTACGACCTTCATCATGGACATTGTATCCTTTTATTCTTCAAAAATGTCAGAATTTTACGTAATGATTTCGCCTTCATATGACTGTTAACATTTCATGAAACATTCTAGTCATTTTTAAGTTGTTTTAGCAACAAGCATATACTTAGGTAGAAGTATCAATAGGTAGAACATACCCATATCAGTAGGTAGAACAACAAAACATGTAAGTGATGGCATCTGCTATCTGGGTACTTAAACACCACACAATTGTTGTTTTCTTTTTAAAAGTTATTAGAGGAAGAACATCAGGGGATTAGATATTTACTAAGTAATCCGAGAAGACAATCAGAGGACTATAAGATGTAAATTTTTTTGAATATTCTATTTAAGGAAAATATTCATTGAATTTTTATGTTCAATGAATGGATAAATCAGAGGACACTGCTATATTGTTCTAGGTATATTGCAGTCACTTTGGTTTGCATGTTTACAAATGACAGACATAATTGTAGTACTGTTGGCCAACATTTATTATATATTTCATCTGTACCAGATACTGTTGAAACTCTTCACAAGGGTTAATTTATAATCATCACAATAGCAACCCAATAACATAGGTAGTGATAGTATTTGACAGATGAGAAAACTGGACAATGGGGAGGCTAAACAGATTGCCCAGTTTCAAACAGTTAGTGAAAAAAAAAAAGGTTGGAATTCAAACACAAGTAGCCTGGCTCCATAGAGAATTTATATTCCTTACCATGCTACTACTACTTCTCCCAAAATATTCTCTACTGATTATTATTATTATTTATACTCCCATCTCATCAAATTGTACTTCCCTTAAAATGTATTTGTCTTCATTATTTTTTAAAAAGAAAGGGAACTATTTCTGATCAGGGACAGTATTGGTCCTAAAAGAGAAGCCAGTGATTTTTTGAAGACTTCCCTGCCTCCACCAGTTTTTCTAGGCTGGGTTTTTTGAGCAACAGGAATTGTGTAGTTATTATAGAACCACTTTAGCAAATGTGTTCCATTAATCAAGGTGATTTATAACAAAAATTCATCCAAGTTTGGAGCACTCTGAAGAGATATCCAAACCTTTGCAGGGTCTCCTCCTCTAGAGGGTTCCCTTTTTCAGTTATCTCTGAAGCACACTGGTGCTGTATTTTATGAAATGGGTTCTTTCCTTTACCGATGTATCATCTTAGAAAAATCATTGTTGTTTATGATGAAGACATTACTATTCAGATCTTGATTGAGCTGCTTGGTAAAGATGATGAATGTTAAATGTGTTTTGAATTCCAGGCCTCCCCCCCGCAAAAAAATTCTCCTAAGTAGGTGTTTCGGAAAGAAAACACCAAAATTGTCATTTGGAACCTAGAACGTAGAGTTTAGCATATGAAAGAAATAGCATTGTTCCTAAGTTGGCAAAAAAGAATATAAACAGACATTGGTTAAGTGATGTGGAACCATTTTATTCAGTCTGGAGTTCTAAAAGTCCATGTGGCAGCAATACTTAACAAACCATGATTTATTTTTTACATTAAGCATTTGGAAACTGAGCAGTCCCTATCAGGTGCTGTTGCAGTGGGTTTTGCTCATTTCAATGGTATTGAGGCCAGTAATTCTTGCTTTAGGTTATGGGCTAAGCATTGGCTACTAGGATATGAGCTTAATTTGTGACTTTCAAAAGAAATATATACTCAGCTCAAACATCTTGAATAACTTGCCTTTCTATACTATAAGAATTCCTCAGTTTGAAGTTAAAAGCCACTAATTTGCCAAAAATAATTTAGTTGGAAATAGAAGCATTTAGCAAATAGGAAATACAAAAAATGAATGGTCATTATCCTATTGATTTGCATAGTAGGCAAAATGCAGTGTAAAAGCCTATATATTGTAGTTTCCATTTTCCTAGGGAAAATAGGGCCAGGGCTCAGGTAATATGGTGAAATTTTGTTATAAAGTTAACGAAAAGATGGAGAAAAACACTTTATAATTTTTCTAAAGGTAACACTGTGTGATAGTCCAGGGCTCTGATTTTAATCCATGGTGTAACTGTGGTACAGTTTAGGCATTTTGCAATGTAGTAAGTTCCTATCAGCAAATATGCTATAAAATTTACCATATAAACAAACTCCTTTGACACTACATCCTCCTATAGGAAAGAGTTGTGTCTACTTATTGACTCTGCCCTGAACTTCCTATTCTTTCTTGAGCTCATTCCTGTTACGTTTTGGTCCCCACCACTTCACTGAAACAGTTCTTGTCAGGGGTCCCAACTGGTAACTGTCCAGTGGTCAACTTCAGTCCTCATTTTACTTGACCTGTTGTTGGTATTTGAAATATTTATTCTCAAAACGTGGTTTCACTTAGTTTTGGGGACAGCACATTCTCTGGGTTTTTTTCCTTTCTGTTTCTTCTGAGATTCCTTTTTGGTTCCTCCAAACTTTGGAGTAACTAAGGGTTCATATTTTAAACTGCGTCTCTTGTTCATATACACTCACACATTAGGTGGCCTCATGCTTTTAAATACTACCTAACTTAACTCCCAAATTTATATCAACTACAACCTCTTTCCTGAACTCCAGAATCATATATCTAATAGTCTGCCTACTATCTTTACCTTAGTATACAATGGGCACTTCAGACTTAGCATGTCCAAAACCAAACTCCTGATCTTCTTTCCCAAACTGGCTCCTCCCACACATATCCCCATCACAGCAATGGCAACTCCATTCTTCTGCTTGCTCTGGTTATAAATCTTGGAGTCTTCCTTGACTCTTTTCCTCTTTCACTGCACATCCAATCCATTAGCAAATCATGGTGGCTGTATTTTTTAAATATAATCAGAATTAGACCACTTCTTGCTACTATCTCTGCTACCACTGGGGTGCAAGACAAATTCATATCTTGTTTTCTTGCAATAACTTCTGAACTGCTCTCTGTTTATACCATTCCCACTTTCTTGTGTTTTTCTTTTTAAAAATTATACATATGTGAATAACATCATTATTGTTATTGGCAGAGATCTAAGCAATAGAAACAGTTTTACATTTCAGAAAGAACTGATTAAATTGTTCTCAGGATAAAAATACAGTGTTTTTAAAAGAAGTTGTAAATGGGGCAATATGCCAGTGATAAAGGTGTTTGACAGTATACTGGAAAATATTTTTGAAAAACTGATCAGCAAACTGAAAAACTCACTAATTGAACAGCTTTAGAAAATGGTCAGCGTATATTAACACTAATAGCCCCTTAAAGTGTACTGTGTATTTAGGTTATAGTTCAGATCCTTGAATATCCTAATGCTGTTTTTGTTTGTTTAAATGTCATTTACTTTAGCTAAAAGTCACAACCATATGGTGTTCTATTACCACTTGTATTATAAACACAAAAAGTACTCATGTGTAGGGAAAGGAGTCATCAGGTTGAAAGGGCTTGTTTATTATAAGCTGCTGATACACTAAATCCTTATGTCATTTAAATAGAAGAACTACCTAATAATGTCACTCATTACAACTAGGATATCTAAACAAGGGACTTGCTTTTTGCAGACTATAGTGATAAAAACCTGTGCTACACGTCCATTTCTCAGCAACGGGTCCCAGGATAATCAATCATGGCATACTGCTAATGCCTTGATTGCAGCTGATGTGGAGGAAATATGTTTACTCTCTTGCTAAAAATGAGGTTCACTGCGGAGATGACATGACTTTTTCATCCTA